CAGCAGCTGCACTCTCGGCGCACACAGATTCTGTCGCCTCATTGTCCTCTTCCTCGTCTTCTTCCTCCTCATCCTCCTCATCCTCGTCCTCAACCTCATCTGCCGGTCTCAACATCTGTCCCGGCAGTCGTGAAGCCAGCCCCAACCCCTCCGGCCTGGGCCAACACGGCTCTGCCACAGCCGCCATGATGGCGGCGGTCGCCGCGGCAACCAACTATGCCGCCTCACAATTGGCCTACTACGGCTCCACCGGTAGCCAGGGCCTGGCCGATGCCACGCCGGCCCACCTTTCATCCGGCCCCCCAGCACACGGACAGAATAGCCTGACCAACAGCATTTCTGCCGCCGCCTCGGACGGCCTCACTAACCATTGGCCCAACTCACCACCTCAGGCTCTACAGAGGAGTGATGCCTCCAGCCTACTCGCCTGGCCGCCTGCCTACAGACCGCATACTGGCGACAGGGACGACTCGATCGTGGAAGGTGAAGCCTATTTGTTGGAGGCCAACGGTTGCAATACCAATGGCCATGGACGCCCTTACTCGACGGGTGGAATACACGGCCGACCGTTGCACCCCGATGATCGACATAGCAATGAGGATGGAGTGGCTAACCAGATGACGGAGGCCGCTTTTTCATTAGGAACTTGTCTAAACCAGACGGGTGTACCATACGAGACGCCGGTCGGCTCAATCAGAGGATACTAAGACTATCAGCCTCAGGGTAAGCAGAAATATTGAGGAAGGCAGAAGATTAAGGCCGGCAAAAATACACGTTTTGCATGACCATGTTTGGCAAATGTCGGAAATTAAAAAATGCAATAAATAATAAACCACTAAATAACAATTAATTGACGTATACTTAATTAATCAAAACTAGCAATTAATAATTATTTGAAATATATTAATAGATATTAATTTTAATTTATTGCAAAACTAAAAGAATGATCTTGAAAACTAGCCTTACATATCCAAAATGTGCGCATATATTTTTCCAAATATTTGGTTTGTTGTAAGCTTTTTAAACAATATTATCGAGCGAAGGTTGGAAGAGCAAGATGGCCTTTTGTGTGGTCGCAGTCTCCTTTCGTTGTATAGAGGTTGTTTGACCTTGTTTTCGCAACTTGGTAATATTGGTAGGAAGACTTATTGGAACGCAGCTAGTCTAGGGTCCATTGTCTGCATGATCATTTCCAAAGTTGAACCGTGGACGTGGTACATTCCCACGTA